ATTACATTCGCACTTCCCGTTTGCTCCTTCCAACTCCTTCTGCTTCTTGTTCGATTTTCACGATCCTGCAGTACTGAAGACCGTATTTACAGCTAAGATCTTAAGTCAGCACAGAATTTGCGAGTCCTGCTACAGAACAAAGTTCAAATTTCAGTGTGAGTATTAATAGGAAAATGTTCCAGGCAAAGGCTGACGTATGGATTTTTTCCTCCTCCTTACCCTCTCCTACTCGCTCGCTCTGCTCCTCCTCATTCCTCCTCCGCCACTCAAATTCTTTTCGAGAAGGCAGTAAAAATACCTTTTTTCAAGATGCTGCTTGAAAAATATTGGCGCACAAAATGGTAGGTAGGAAAAAACGACAGCAAAAATGCACAGTATACGAAAACAGATCCCGAAAAAGGGCATGATGGAATGCTCCAACAAGCTGGCAAAACCCCTGGAACTCATGATCAATTATAATAAATTCTTCTAGCCTTCACGTATGAGTGATAATGTTCGGCATGAGTTGGGGATCCTCGATATACTCCAAAGACATCTTGAAACATCTGAAGCACTGTCAAGCGCTTTGTCGCAAAAATCCTTGAATTACTGGGCCCTTTAGATTACAGATAAGCGCTAAACAGCTATTATTTCAAATTTACTCAAAAACAAACCATATGTAGCTGTCGATCTCGGTGTACAGTAACTGAATGTAATATACATCAGTGGCAATGATAACAACATCATCCGCTATGAAAAGGACGATTAGATTTAAAGTGAACGCCCTAAAGAAACTCTGCGAGACTTTCAGCAGTGTAAGGTACAGCACCAGACTGATAACGGTGATCCGAATGATAATGTCCAGCAGTGATAAGATGACATCGTAAGTATACAGTTCTGCTGCAATTTTGTTTTCGAAAAATTTCATTCAATTGATGTTTTTTAATTTACAGGGGACCTCACTCCAATTGTCCAGACCTGACAGTATTGTTAGTGCCAAAAATGCCGAAACTGCAAGGATTGTTTAGAAAGTCGATAGTACTGATATACTGCAGGGATTATTCCGAAGGCCGGTAGTACTGATATAGTAACAGTTTGAATCTTTGCTTGTTAAATTCTAAATTTCTTAGACGAAAATCGAGCAACGACGTATTCTGTAACTAGGTCGGTGGAACACCTTGTAATTCTCTATTTGCGCAACTGCACGGCTGGATACAACTGCAAAATCACTTTTGACAAAAGGTGAATTTGACAGCTGGCATTATTGGTTCTCCAAGCAACAGCGCCGGTTTTTATGTCTTTTTTGCAACTATGCAATACAAAAACGCATATTGTCGAGGGGTTGTCTGTGTGTGTCTGTGTGTGGGTGTCTGTGTGTATGTATGTATGTCTGTGTGTGCGTCTGTAACGAGTTTTCATCTCGAGATCCACAAAAACAACAAGGCTGAAAATTTGGTGACTTAATCTACAATTACGTGCGGGCTCGTATCGTCAGAATGGACGC